TATATGTTGGCTTGCCTCCCAATAATTAGATTTAATTTACTCATTATTTCCAATATGCTACTGTGTCCTTCATTAAATAAACTAGCCACAATATATGTACTAATATCCACTATTTTTAAGCCAGAATTCAGGTGCTTTGGAGCCAATCGCCAAATAGTAGAGTTGAAACTTTCATTGGCATTTTGAGTGTGGCCCCCCAAACATCTTATTAATAAATTTTCTCTGGATAAATCTTCATAAATTGAATATATGTGTTTCTGAACATCTGGATGCAATGGCGCTGGATGCTTCATAAAAGAATCCGATCCATTTGATTTAGCTTTTTGCCACTTGCACCAGCTCTCGGATCCTGACGGACAATATTGGTGATTTGGATGTTCATCTGTAGAGCACATGTGGTAATAAGTAGCCATTATCGCTTTTTTCATATCCTCTGCACTGTTGATATTTCTACTGATAGCAAGACCGTAGTATGTCGTAAGTTTTCTGATTAGAGTATCTGTCAATTTTCCTTTTCTGCCAAGTTTGTATGTTTTTTTTATGTTTCGTAGTCGGGAGCTCATCCTCTTTTCAACATGTCCAATACATTCATTTTTAATTACTGGAAAATCGTCGCCATATGGGTTTTGTTCTAAAATTGCTTTGAACGTTTTGCAATCTCCGTCCCCTATATAGTTGCCGTATTTTACACCAAACTTTTCTTCGGATCTCAAAAACATCTCTACAATTGCATCGACTTCCATTTTACCGGCAGACCCTCGTGAGTTTTTATGCAATTTTCTTTATGTTCTTCATACCAGTCAATATATTCTTCTGTATTTTCTTTATTTTTATAAAATGTACAGGCTTGACAATAACTGCTTTTTACAGCTACATCGATAACTTTACCAGAATAGTACCCAATAAGCGATGTTACGCCGTATAATGATTTGAATCCGCGCTTTTTCCAAGAACCATCACCAGATACTTTTAAATTCAAGATTGACCTTTCTTGCCTTTCATTTTCTTTCTTTTCTTCTTCAACAGCTTTTCCGCTGAAATATTCGAACACCGATTTGGTGGCTAAATACTGGTGTTTA